TTTTTTTTTTTTGCAGTTTTTGGCCAGGGCTGGGTTTGAATCTGCCACCTCTGGCATATGAGGCCAGTGTCCTACTCCTTTGAACCATAGGTGCCACTCCATGTAGTATTATTCTTTCTGTGCCTTGATTATTTCAGTTAGCATAATGTCCTTTAGGTTTGTCAATGTTCTTACAAATTATTATTCATCCCTAACTTATATGGCTGAACAGTGTAAAATTGTGGATATATAACCACATTTTCTTTACCCATTCACTCACTGAGAGACCCTTAGGTTGATTCCACATGTTGTAAACAAATAATGTGGTATCACCTCACATCTGTTTAGAATGGTTTTTACTAAAAAGATAAAAGATAAGTATTAGCAGGGATACAGAGAAGAGGGTACCTTGTTGTTGGGAATGTAAATTAATATAGTCATTACTGAAAATATTATGGAAGCACCTCAGAAAAACTGCAAATAGAATTACCAGGTAATCAAGTATTCCCACTTCTGGGTATATATCCAAAGGAATTAAAATCAATTATGTCTAAGAGGTGGCTGCCCTCCTATGTTCACTGCAGCAATGAGCTAATGTTAAAGAAAACAAAAGAAAAACTGACCCAGAGTGTCCTTTAAAATCAAAGCCAAGTGAGTTCTACTAACCATTTCCTGTTTACTCTCCTTTCTTGCAGCCTATTCTGTCATGCATGGAATTTGGTCTTATTTTATGGCAAGTTTCCTGTTTGGAATTCTAAGTGCAAAATTAATCCAATTGTGGATGTCCACAGTGTTTGGTGATGATGTCAATCATATAAGTCTCATCCTTTCAGTTTTGTACCTCACCTTTTATATTTGTAAGTGCAGGGTTTATTTCTAAAATTAAATGGCATGGAAAAATTCAGAATAAAAGCAGGGGAAAATATACACACGGCCTAAGTTAGTAAAAACACTCAACTGACCTAGAAGGAATATTTCTGTTCAAGTAATTTTTCAAAAGAGATAAAATACAAATACCCACATGACAGAAAACAAGGTATACAGATAAAGAAAACAAATACTATTGTTTTATATAGATTTATAAAGATTACCAGAATGGCTAACTAGTTGAAAGGAGTACTTTACTGGTAATACTGGTTTGCAGGCCAGGAAGAGAAAGTCATCCACATGGACCAAAAGTGCTCTATCTTTGAGGAGGGGAAGGACAGGTAGGATGTTATGCCTCATATGACTAGTAGTATACATATTCAGCAGGTTTGGGAGAAAAGCTATACATATGTATTTATGTGGGGAGCTGAGCACATAGAGATCAGCTAAACATGTATGTAACATACATCCCATGCTCACTTTGGGATCATGTTTTAACATTCAGATGAGGTGACTTTTTCCATCAAAATGTTAACTATAGGACACAAAGACATTCTATGCAGCTTCTGGAACCTGGCTGAAACTGGCTTAAGGTCTGCAGTAGCTTACATAAAACAACGTTTGAAAGTTCAGGCCTCTGTCTGGGTTCTAAATCAGCCTGAAAGCTCCAATTGTTAGGAAGTTTAGCAAGGGTATGGTTTTTCTTATAGTCATAGGAGTTTAGAAATTTGCTCGGACAGCCAGCCTTGAACCCTTGACCTGTATGTAACTTTGTTTCCTTATGCTTAGGGTCTTTCATAGTTGAGAAGGAGGCATCTATTTTGGTCTTCTACATCGCACTTTTATAAAAGAGGAATTTGGCAAAATTATAATTACAGGAACAGAAATAATTATGCCTTTCTCAGAGAATTTCATGATCAATTGGACAAAAATAATTATGGCTGCAAAAAGATTTCAGTGATTTATAAGCTTGGTTTATAAAATATATAGAGTTTTACCTCCCCGAACAGAATACATATCCTTTACATATAACTGTGGATAATTTACAAAAATTAACTAAAATTGAAGAACACTTCAATAAGATTTCAAACATTGTTCAACCATGATCCAATTATATGAAATACTAATTATCAAAAGAGGATTTACATTGTAACTAATTATACATTAGATATATTTTTCTTGGTAACTCAGACTAAAATGGAAATTATGAAAGAAGTATTAGATCAATTAAGGCTAAATATTAGAAAGTCTATCAATACTATTAATCCATTTACCATAGTTTCCTCTTCATGGAATTATCGAAGATATTGATACACCACTGTTTTCTGACACAGCCTCAGAATCATGTTCAACCCCGCTCTTCAGATAGCCCTCCAAATGACTAGGTATTGGCATGTGAGCTAATACCTAGTTATCACACCTATACTATGTCTTTTAATTTCATTAAATTAAAATTTATTGTAATTCAAATCAAACAATAATCAATTTTGTGGGATTTTAAATATTATAAAAACTATTTTATATACCTGTTAACCTTTAGTAATAAGATAATGGTGCATATTCTCACATCTACTATTAAAAATAGTTCTGGAAGCTCTATAGGAGGAAAAAAGCAAGAAATTTATACTTACTTTCAGAGAAAAATGGTTACATCACTTGCAACATTTTTTTATATTATATAGAAAACTCAACAGAATTAATTAATGAACTGTCCACAAGATTTTTTAATAGTTTGATATAAGATAAATTTACCCAAAATAATTGATAGTTTTTATAAACCAGTGCTAACTATATAGAAAATATAATAAAAATTTGATGCTCTTTATACTGGCAAACATTTATAAAACATCGAGTAATAAATGTAACAGGAAGTTTAGACCTAAACATAGAAAATTACAATAGTTTACTGAGAGGTATAAAATTTGAATAAATCAAGACCAAAATAAATAAATAAATAAATAAACTTCAAAGCCACATGGTGGCTAATGCCTATAATCCTAGCACTTTGGGAGGCTGTGGCAAGTGGATTGTCTGAGCTCACAGGTTTGACAACAGCCTGAGCAAGAGGGAGACAACCATCTCTAAAAATAGCCTGGTGTTGTGGTAGGCACTTGTAGTCCCAGCTACTAGGGAGGCTGAGACAAGAGAATCGCTTGAGCCCGAGTTTGAGGTTGTTGTGAGCTACGACACCATGGTACTCTACCCAGGGTGACAAAGTGAGACTATCTCAAAAAACAAAACAAAACAAACTTCTCTTAAGAAATGTTAAAATAGCTTCGCAGTGTGGCTAGGAGTCAACTTCCTGTGTCATGACCTCAGGAAATAAATTTCCTTGACTTTATAAAACCAAAAAAAAAAAAAGAAAGAAATGTTAAAATAATAAGAGTCATTATTTTCATGTCTGAAAAGGAAAAGGCAGAACATGAGATCTTGAGGGTTTCTAACTAATCACTGGATTAAAGCCAATTGTAATATCAGTAAGATTACAGAATCAAGTAATTAATTCACAGACAGTGAGGGAATGGTCAATCAGTTCAGGTAGGTTCCTCATGCACTAGTATCTATATATATGCTTAAATTCCTATAAAATTATGTTCTAATGAATATAATTCCTTCTAACATCATTTGATTAGTAAGCATAGTCTCAAGATTAAAGGCAATACCCAAGGGAATAATTTCAAATTTTCAGAGTCAAGATGTCTCAATGGACATTTTAGGAAGAAAACTACCAAGACAGAATTTCATGACCACAAAATACTGAGTAAATATAAATCTAATCTAATGTAAAAGGACTTTCACTCTGCCCTGACTTACTGTTTATATTATTAGCATCTTCAAGATAGTCATCATAAATATTTTCCAGACTTCACCATCACCTAACAATTTCCAGCTATTCCAGGACTAGGTCCACAATTCCCTCTTCTTTACTGATTCAAAAATGACTTAAGTATTTGTTTCTTGCTTTGGTACCCTTTCTAGCTAGGACTAAAATAAAGAATATAAAAATCTGTAATTTTTTTAATCTCTAGAAGGGAAAACTCAACACTGTGACATAAGATCAATTTCATTAAATTAAAATTTATCACAAATTTAAATCCAAGAATGATAAATATTTTTGGTTTTAAAAGCTTTATAAAAACTAAAAGTTCATCTAGAAAAATTAATATGTGAGAATAGACAGTTTTTTAAAAGTAGAGAACTTTTTTCCTACCAGCTGAGTATTAAAACATTTACTAGGCCCACAACAATTAAAATGCAATTGTTTTAAGGGGAGTAAAAAGCAAATCAAAGAAACAGAAGGGGAACAGAACTGGTCCACATATGAGTGTAATTTAATATATGATGAAAGAATATTCACAGTATTCTTCAATAGTAAATACTTTGTGTTTATTAACTAGAACAATGTCTGATAAACATTAAGTAGAAAAAAGAAAGCTTATTACAGAATTATATTGCTGTGTGATTTTATTTTGATTTTATACACGCATGACTCTATTTTTATATATGTATGTTAGATTTACACAATGGGGATTCACTGGGTACTCCACTCATCTCAGAGATCTTGACCTAAGTATCTTAAATTCCCAATTCTATAGATATTCTATGAAAACCCAAACAGCTTATAATTTCTAAAATTTCTGGGTTTTCCTTTCTCATGATCTCCTCTACCCCTTCCCGAAAACACAGTAGTTTCTAGTTTTTAGAAATTTTTACTGAAGATGGGGGAAAATTAAGTTATGTAGTTGATGGTTCTATGAGATCCGACAGTTACCTTTATTTTTTCACAGTCCCATCTTTCCCACTTAATTTTCACCACTTGTCTCCAGTATAGAAATTTGACTAGCATCCATTAATGGTTGAAGCTACCTCTTATATCTCATTTCTCTAATTTCAGAGAGTAGTTTATCAAATTGTTTCTTGCAGGCTAATAAAATACTTTGTCTAATACAAATTCAAGTCAAAATTTTCTTCAAAATTGTACCTGGAGTCTTGGTAGAGGAATTATGAGTGTTCTCTTTTTCAAATAATAGAATCTCTATACTGTAACACATTATTTGAACTTTGGGGGCTAGTTTACTACTTTTCATAAGCTCAAAAGAGAAACAACTTTAATAGAGCTACTTTTATGAATAGTCCAAGAACAGTTGTTTATGCTTTTCAATCCCTGTAGTAAATGCACCAAGACAAAATCATACTGGGGAAGAAGATCCATACTAGGTCTCTGCTGTTCCAACCTCTTAGTCCTATCACAGTATCAAACCATTTCTATCTTCTACTTCTCCCAAGAAGAAGGCATATGTAGTGACCTAGTCCATAAAGACCTTAACAGCTCACTTCCATTTCATCCTTCCAGAGCCTACCTGAAACAAGACCCATAGAGGGTGCTCTAACCTCACTAGGATACATGAAGTCTTATAAATTCCGTAGCGTTAGCTGTGATCTGAAGCCAAAGCAGCACAAGAATCTCCATTATAGATTCAGTTTCCAGCTGACATGAAGTGGGGTAGCCTTTCCTATTAACACACCACACTATCAAGATATGTGACACTTTCATCTCTGATAAAATTCGTGCTACTGTTGATGTTAAATTAATACTTTACATTTATTTCCTTTTAAAAATAGGTGAGCTAGTTGGAATGTCTGGGATATTTACCCTGGCCACTATGGGACTTTTGTTAAATTCTGCAAGTTTTAAACCAGGAGTGGAATCACTTCTTCTTGAGTAAGTAGCTAACATAGTTTCACTCTGTTTCATACACTGCAGAACCACTCAACTAAAAACCCTCCTTGACAGTTCTTTTCTATGTGCCTTGAAATACTCTGACTTAGAGCAAAATTTGTAACCTCACTTTGAGTTGGTTCTATTTCCCCACTAATTCCCCAACTCTCTGATCATCTGCCAGAGGTGTCTAACTGCAGCCTACAGCTGGCTTTGAACGCTTGCCTAAGAATTTCTTGGGCCACACATTAAATACACAAACACTAACAAAAGCTGATGAGCAAAAAACGTCTATGCATAATTTTCATGATATCTGCCACCACAGATACGCATTCATAGCCAGCCTCAGGCTGCAATTGGGAGCTCCTAAATCCTGTACACACTAATGAGAGAGTGACAAAAAATATAGGAGGTGAGAAATAATATTCTCATGCAATATTTTTTTAAAAAGTGAACTTAATCCAAAAAAGAAATCTGAAGAACAATAGTTAAGGATGATGAAGAGACATCACATAAAGCAAATTAAAAGATTAATTTAGGGCATTCGAAGAGAATTAGCAGTGTTATAAAAGAAAGTATGCTCAAACTAAATGTAAAGAAGACTCTGAGTGGAAATGTGCAAACTGTGCTGTGTTCAAGGGCAACTCAGCTGAGTAGCTGAGGGGTGAGTGTGGTCTGTGTCAACCTAAAGGAAGGGCATTGTGTGTAGTGCTACAGTACACAGTTTGGAAACTTGACCTACATCACACAGTAGTGACATGTGTACAACTAACTGTAAACAGTGATTTCTGTGGTTTGGGAGAATGTTACAGAATATAACATTATACTATAACAATGTTATAATAAATTCAGAAGCTAAAAGATACAGGATCTTATAAGATTCTGGAATGCTTCATATAAAATTTCATGCCAATTATAGCAGAAGTCAATTGTACTTGAAGCCAGACACAGTTAAATGGGCCACAGTGTGGGAAGAATTAAAAATGTTACACAAGTATTTAATTATGTCTATGGGAAGTGATTCTGAAGGTTCCCACGATCTTCTTGCTGTCGTTGTAAGCTAGATCTCCCCTGAAGGTATTACTTTCTCTTTTCTTCCTTGTAAGCTGTGATATCTTCCTCACCTGCATCTCTGGTACTATTGAGCCTACAGCGGACATAGGTGATCTCCCTGCACCTCAAAATCATTGTACCATCTGCTACCCTCTTGGCTGTGGTTATTTCTCAAATTGAGTTGCACTTAGTACTTTGTGAAGATGTTGGCTTCTGTCTCACTGTGACTCTTTCCAACATTACCCTGTCACCATTCTTAGTGATTAGTGTCCATACAGTTAATCCCTTACTCAGCTTTAAGTTTCTGGACCTTCTCTCCTTCCATAAGCATGTCCACCACCCCACTTTAGTCATGCACTTCTACGGTCATACAAATAACCATTTTAAATCTCAATTTCAATAATCTTTTCTTTGGAGAGAAGGTCTCAGTTTGTCCCTATAGGCTGGAATACAGTGGCAAAATCATAGCTTACTGCAGCCTCTAATTCCTAGGCTTAAATGATTCATTTCAGCTTTACGAGTAGCTAGGACTACAGGCAGACAACACCATGCCCCACTAATTTTTAAATTTATTTTTTAGAGATCTTGCTATATTATCCAGGCTGGTCCAAAACTCCTGGCCTCAAGGGATCCTCCTGCCTTGGTATGCCAAAGTTCTGGGAATACAGACATGAGCCACTGTGACTAACCAATAATCTTACTGCTAAAAATAGGCATGTACCAATGTCTATTTTCCAAGATAGTAGGACTAAGATAATAGTAATAAATCCCTTTATCTCCCACAACAACCTACATCAGGTCCATTCTACTCTCTAAGAAAGAAGGTGCACGTCTCCTATCTTTTCACCTTATGTTCTCTAGTACTTCAAGTCTAACAATTCTACATCCACAATGAGACTAAAATTCATTGATCTTGTCATCTTTTACTGACTCCCACCCATCTCATATCCTCAATTCCTCTTGTGGTGCATCTTACAAGGGTACATGTGAAATTTACTAGGTGTAGAATATAAACGTCTTAACACAATAACTAAGAAAATGCTGTGAAGGCTATGTTAACCAGTTTGATGAAAATATTTCAAATTGTATATAAAACCAGTACATTGTACCCCATGATTGCATTAATGTACACAGCTATGATTTAATAAAAAAAAATTTAAGAACTTTTCATTTTTTCAGCTACAAGTGAAAGCTGTTTTAGTGGCAAAGTCCCATGCTGTGTCCTTCCTACTACCTCTGATTCCACTCTACTCTCACCCATACCTGCCATGCTCTAACCACACTGATCACCTTGCTGTTTTGCAAATGTCAAGCATGTTCCCCTGTCTGGGTTTGTGCCCTTGTACTTCTGCTCTTGGAATGCACTTCCCCTACACATTGGCATACCTATCTCCTGTCTTTCACCTTTCTATTCAGACATCACTTTATGAGAGAGAAATCACTCAAATAGAAACTACCTCTTTGTCAACTTATACAGTTTTTCATTCCTGGAAAGTTGATTTCTCAAAAGTGTCCAATCCATTAGGTATCAGCTCCTCTAGGCTATTGGCTGTGCAACATTGGAGCAATAAAGTGAGAAAGATACCTAGATCTGCTAGAATCAAAATCTTTGAGAGTACAGTCCAAGGACATAATTTTTAAAAACTCTCTCCAGTTGATGCTCTGGACAGACAAGGTCGTGGCCTGTTGGGACAACTCATAATCAAGTGAAGGAAAGGGATTTTGAAAAATATTCACAAGTTTTTTTTTTTTCTGTGTGTCTGAATTATTGCACGCACATACACACACACACAGGAGTACATACACACATCTATTATGGGTTTGGAGCTTGGTTATTTGCTCACATTCTCTCTGAATTTGATAGAGACTGATTCCTTAAAGAATATGGTTCATCCTTATAAGATTTCTCCCATTAATTTCTGCCATATATGAAAATTTCCTGATAGTTCCTTATGTTTGTGGCTGAACTGATTCATTTACATTTTGTGCTAATTAATAAGAGTGATTATTGGCTTTGGGGGGCATTTTCCCACAATTTGATGAGTTTTTAAATTACATAATTATTTATAATAGAAATATTTTGGTACATATATTTGTCATTCATTTGACTGAATTATCCTACTCAATGTTTAAAAGTTATTTTTATCAACTATGTTGGTATGTGGGTATAATGCTTTGAAGAATTTGGTTTTGGTGGGGAGTGAGGCCTGTGTAGAAGGCACAACAATTGAATTTGCTTTTGGTAATGAAGTTAAAAGAAGGAAAAAGAATACAAAAATATATTTTAATAAAACATATATTAGTGTCTTTTTCTGTAAGTTTGTGCTGAATGCAGTATTTAAATCCAAGACATAATAGCTAAAAATATGGCAATTCATGTAAAAGAAAGAAATGATAGTTCAGTCTAGAGTAATGAAACAAAGATCAGTCATGGGAAAATAATTTGAATGATTTCATTCAATATTTCCTAGGCTAGAATATTTTATGTTGATTGTTTCTCTAATTATGCGTAGGCATTTGTGCCTCTTAGATGTAGGTCAGATACAGAGATTTCTTATTACTCCAACAAAGAAAGTTTTGTTTTGAGTATTGAATTTGTTTTCAAACAAAAGCAGTATTCTTCGTCAGCACAAAAGTTATCATTGTCAAAGACACAGTCTGGCAAGGAATAGGTAAAACCAAGCTAGTTTTCTCTCATAAAATGGTATTCATATGCCTTTTAATTTTTTTTTTTTTTTTGAGACAGAGCCTTACTATGTCACCCTTGGTAGAGTGCTATGTCATCATAGCTCACAGCAACCTCAAACTCCTGGGCTTAAGCAATTCTCTTGCCTCAGTTGGGACTACAGGCACCCACCAAAATGCATGGCTACTTTTTTGTTGCAGTTGTCATTGTTGGTTAGCTGGCGCCTAGGCCAGGTTCAAACCATGGCCAGCGCCCTATCCACTGTGCTACTGGTGCTGAGTCCCTTTTAATATTTTTAAGTTATTTTTTATAAGTATAATATATGGATTAAAAGCATGGAATGTATAGAAAGAAAAAAGTAGTAAGTTTTTTAAAAACTACCGCATTCCCAACATCAAAACATGACTAATATTAGTATCTGAGTCTCCTTTTAAAAACTACTTTGCCTGCAACTGTTAAGAACTTAAGCTGTAACAAATAATGTAGAATTTTCCTGGACTCTAATGCATTTGAATAAGTACACTTTTACACATCCAAAATGGAGACTCTGCAAAAGGCATTTATGTAAATAAAAAATTTATTCATGAATGAACACTTGAGTAACATCAGCAAGCTAACAGAATAGCAGGTTCCCAACACACATGCCCCCCACAGGAAAAGCAATTTGGCAGCCATCCACCGATAATATGGAGAAACTAAGTAACACTCTTAAACATTAAATCAAAGAGAAAATCAAGGCTCGGCGCCTATAGCTCAACCGGCTAAGGCGCCAGCCATGTACACCTAAGGTGGCAGGTTCGAATCCCCAGCCCGGACCTGCCAAACAA